TCTAATTTTAATTTCAATCATTTACGCGAGCAATTTTTTAAAATTTAATTTTAAACCAAGGAGTGGAATGTCGCAACTCTTTATATATATATGGCTCTGGTGTGCACCAATTTCCTTCCCATAATTACTTATGTGTCAGGTAGGTGGTTTTTTGGTCGCCAACCTTGCATTATAACACCCCTGTTCCTATTTTGAGGTTATGCGCGGTGTTACATCTTTTAGTAGCACTGCCATCAGGCCACTCTTGTGTGCCCATTATCGTCATACAGTTTCTTTCATCATTTACTTTGGAACGTTTTACCGTATGGACACAAAAAAAAACATGTTTTGTAAAAGACAAAACCCTGTTGGTCTGTACAAAACATGTTTTGTAATAGACAAAACCATGTTTGTCTTGTACTAAACGTGTTTTGTAAAGACAAAACCATATTTGTCTGTAAAAAACATGTTTTGTAATAGAAAAAACATGTTTTGTGAAGACAAAACCATGTTTGTTTTGTGAAGACAAAACCATGTTTGTCATGTACAAAAAATGTTTTGTGAAGACAACAAAACCATGTTTGTCTGTACAAATTATGTTTTTTAAAAGACAAAACAATGTTATAGTCTTTTATAAAACATGTTTTGTACACACAAACATGATTTTGTTTATTACAAAACATGGTTTGCACACACAAACATGGTTTTGTCTTTTACAAAATATGTTTCGTAAAGACAGAATAACTTTCGTATATTACAAAACATGATTTTCCCCTTACAAACATGGTTGTGTATGGCAGAACAGGTAGTGTGTCGTTTGGCGCACCGGTGGAATATTGAACCAGCTTTGTTACCATTAAATGTAATTTTTAACTTCCAACTCTTTAATACAATTTTCATCTGGCTTAGTATGCTATGAATCTGTTGCCTTTTTTTTTTAAATGATTTCATCAATGTGGCATTTGTCAGAGGCTGATCGGGAAATATACATACCAAGTTATTTACTGTATATTTAGGCCTAGTCTCCATATATTTGTTTATTGTCTAATCGCTGATCCGTGGTGCGATATGGGCCTGGAGTTTGCACATGCGACAGGGCAAAAAAAGTATTATTTTTCAGGGGAATAGTACTTTTTGAGGGCAATAGTAACTTCTATTGCCCGCTTAACCAATCAGATGCCTAGTATATGTGCATGAGGTATATAATATGGATTAAAATACATGAACAAAAAGAAAAAGAAATCCCTGAGGTTAAGGATCAAAATTGACAAGATTGGTGTATACGAAGTAACACATGCAGTAGACATAATACCGATGTTCACTCTAAGGATTCAGGAGGAATTCTGGTTTATTGCTTATAATGTGTCAAAATATAAAGTTGAATGAATCTTGAGACTGTTTTGTGATACAATGTTATTAATGATATACAAAAGTAGCCTATAAGTATCCCGTTAATAAGGGGTTATTTGACCATTTGGCACACTCAAAAAGTGTCCCCGTCCCCTTAGGTGTCCCCTTAATAGGGGTTGGCTTTAGTGTTAACAGATATATTTCCCCTCGTTTCACGGAAAAGTGTCCCTTAATAGGGGTGTCCCAAAGGAAGGGTTCTACTGTATAACATCAAGAACTAAATTGCGTCATATTAACAAGCAAACAAAAATTATGTATTCATAATTGTTACCCATAAAATACATCGTTTGACCTTTTATTTCACGTAGAGGATGTTTTAAAACTTATAATTCTTTGTAACGGATATGAATACCGTATGATAGTCGGGCTATTGTAACTGAAATAACAGGAATAAACTTGACTGACATGCTTATCAATTCAAAATATGACAGGCTTATGTTCTGTAAAGGCTCTCTTTGTCTTCACACAGTATAATACTTAATAATAATAATATTGTGTGTGTATACAAAGATAGTAAGTGCCTGTACAGATTGCAGAATAAGCACCTTTACCACTATAATGATGATGATAATAATATGAATAATATGATGGGATCGGAGTAATGTTTTGCCGTACCTAAAATACTTGCGAAAAAAGTATTTGGGAATGTACGGTACTGAGTATTCGGTACGATAACACTTTAGGGTACTGGGTTCAAATCCCGTGACATCAGGACTTTTTCTCACTAAAAAAACAAAAAAAACTTCACTCCCTAAGCCTCATAAAGAGACTTCGCTGATAAAAGCATCACATTATTTCAGTTATTGAAAGAGGGCCCGTAAATATCAAACGACCTTCGAGGATACGCTGGAAGAGTCATCCTTAATAAAATTAATATGGTTAAAAAAAATCATTCCATCCATAAGTGGCAAGTGTACATGCTGTTGGATTTGAAGGAAATAAAATCATTACTGTATTATAACTGGAGGCAATTTTTGTCTATCTATGGAGTGCATACATTTATTTAAGTACTTAAAGTTTGGTTTAGAATACAGGTGATCACGCCGGACGTTTTGAGCTTGCGTGGCTGCTTGAATTGGTTTACTGATGCTGTTGAATTTTCAATGATATACCTCTTCAGGTTTGCAAAGCCCCCTGGCTTCACAAGCTGTACGTCCACCGGCCCGAGAGAGATATTATCGCGGAAACGTTTATACAAACATGCCTGCTCGCAAAGTTCAACATCAAGCTGTAAAATAATAATAATAATAATAATAATAATAATAATAATAATAACAATGCATTATTAACTTTACTTTATTGTTTGAAATTCACAACACATTTTATAATTGTTATACTCTAGTAGAATTACATTTTGTGCTAACTTGGTAGGGATCAATGTCTTAATGATCACGCAAAAAACATTTTGACAGTAATTATGTGTTGTAGTTTACAGTGAAATTAAATGGCGTTTATTTGAGTACATCATCCACTGTACACCAAAAATATATAAATAATTAAACGCCTCCCTGGAATAAGCGCCGCTTCAAAAACTCTTCTTAACAATAAACATCCTGGGCGTTTATTCGAATAACGGTACCGGTATGTTTCTAGTGTATTATTTTTCTGTATAAAGGAAAGCCCTACCCTTTAGATTGCTAAGGTTCCACAAAATCATAGCATAAACGTATACGCGCGTGTTTATTTTGACAAAAACATGTGACATTCCTAAATATTGTCATGGTGACATCACATCACATCACGTCATGACTATGGGCATACAACAGTTTTTTGTCCAGACAGAGCTTAATAATGATGCTACATATATTGTGCGTATTACATATTAACGTTCTGTATGGCACTTACATATTTCGGCAGTTCAGATGCAATTCTGATAACGTTCTCTGATCCTTCCACTTCAATAAAAATCATGTAGTAATCTGGGCCAGGGCGCCTGACAGAATCTAAATAAGAATATTATAATGGTTGATTAAGGTGTACGTATTATACCTCCTGTAGTTAGGTTTCTGATTATATCGGTATAAATAATAACTCATGGTAATGAAGCATGTCATGGTTGCTTTTATAAACTTGACGAGGAGGAGTCTCATGATTCTTTGGTGACCTAACTACTTTAATGGAACATGTTGTTTATTTTGACTGCAAAACTTTTTTTCCCTTTAAAAGTAGTTAGTTGATCAAATGAGCACGATGAATAATGAAAGTTAAGCTATAGTTCAATGATATTGTTCCACATTTTAGAGATCGAACTATTATGTTATTGAATCAGGTTGGGACATTTATTTGCTACCGTTCAAGAAAAATACACTTGATTTTGATTCGTATGACTTTCTCACCAGGCGCCAATAAACTTTCTGCACATGCGTAGTCGACAAGTTTAAGCCCTGGCCATCTGTTTAATGTTTTCTTCACAGCTTCAAACAAGCACGCTTCGTCTACCTTTTCTCCACGGATGCTCATTAACTGACCGTATCTATTACAGAAAAATATAATCATTGCATTTAACAGCATCATCTATAATTTATCAATATTTTGTGATTCTCAATAATAATTGCATTGGTTGTGAAAGTTAGCGAATTTAATGATGTCATTGAATCAAAACCGATAGATTTAACCATAGAGCAAAGTTTCTTTGCTCTATGATTTACCAAAGTAATATTTATTTTTATAGTATAGTATTCCCATAATGTATCACTATTTTCTGAATTACCAAATTTAAGTATGGTAGAACGTGTCGTTTATCTTAACTGTACTGAAACCCAATAATAGGGTATTGGTTGTACAATTTAGCGACTTTAATTAAAACGGATAGATTTAACAAAGCAATTTTTTATAGTAGTATCCTCTATAATTTATCACTATTTTCAAAATTATCAAATTTAAGTATGGTAGAACGTGTCGTTTGTCTTACCTATACTGAAACTCAATAACAGGGCACTGGTTGTAAAATTTAACGACTTTTATGACGTCACCAAATCGAAAACGATAGAGTCCACAGGTCCAGTTTGTGAGAACCATTTCATAGTTCTCTCCCACTTTTACTTCGTCGCCAAAATAAGTCTCCGGATTCTCTTCATCGCTATAAGATAAACAAAAACATAACTATAATGCTTATTTAAAAAAAACAAAAAAAAACCAATTCTAAATGTTGATTTATTGCCTTTTATCGGTAATCACCCAATAATTTTGATTACCGTACTCATTTTCTGTTGATTTTGGCAATTTGATTTCATATTAATAGTGCTAATAATAATAATAATAATAATAATAATAATAAATAACAATAATAATAATAATAACAATAGGTCCTGTCTCTTATACACATCTAGATGTGTATAAGAAGATATATATATATATATATATATATATATATATATAATAATATTAATAAATAATAATAACAATTGTAAATACTAAAGAATAATTGATTTATAACACGCACACAGAAACCAACGGTGCTCAAAACGATCTAAAGTGTAGGAATGTAGATAATAATTTTCGGCCTCACCTGTTCTGCACGGGGATAAACTCGAACATGAGTGAATTTGGCAACAAAACATATTGGTATGGTGGTGGCTTTAGAACATCGACATTAATGCCATGCAATCCTTCAGTGCTTAAATAGAACTGCGGCACAATTGGAATTCCTTAAACAAAGGGAATAAAAATATCATTAGTCTACATGCTTTACTTGGGAAATTAATATGTAAGGTTGTATTTACATAATGTCTAGTTATCTATATAGTGCAGTGATTTATTGATTATCAAACATTATTGGTAAAATCAGGCCTACTAAACAATTTAACAAACTTAACTAGAAAAGGACAAATCAACATATTTTTATTCAGTCAAAAATCAACAGCGATGAATACCGCCACTGTACTATATAGATACTGTATACAAATATTTATCATATCAACAATAAACATGAAAACAGCACATACTAAAAAAAAAATTAAAAAAAAATCATTCCATTACGAAGTCCTGATAGGCTTATTGATAAAATGAAGATCATGCATTCTCTTCAAGAAGGATTTAAAGGTAACAAGATTATAATACTGTATGGTAATCTATGAACAAATCCTCGTCTCGTACAACGCGGCTACATGCAGTAAACGCCTGTTACATGTACAAACCGGGACATTGAAATTAAATTAATACAAGTGGACAATAATAAACATAATTTAAAACATTATATAAAATACCATATCAAACACTGTCCTGCGATTATTAATAGAATCGATCGTAGGGAATTTAAGACAAGCATGTGATAAAAATCTCAGAAATAGGATTGGATTGGATTTATTCGGTGTAAACACCAAGGATAGCCCACGAAAGTCTAGAAGAAGACTCATTTCCAGTGGAGTCCTGCTGGTGGTGATTGACCGGGAGACAATCCCCTACTCTTTTCCGAAGAGTGCACTGCGTTCTTTAACGTGCACATGAGCCAGTAATGCACACGGGACAAACAGCTTAAACGTCTCATCCGAAAGACGGTGCGCTGTCGTAACTTGTATTTCAGTCCTCCAGCTGAAACACAAGGAGAAATGCACGCCATCGTGTCGGGATTCAATATTTCGACATTAATTATGTCATCATCATGAAAAGCATATTTGATGAAAAACTTGGAAGCGGTTTATGAGAGACATATTTTAAAATCTTTAAAAACTGGGGGGAAGGGGAGTAACACTCCTTTTTACCGGACACGGATATTTTTAACGGACTCTGGAATTATTGGTTGATTGTGACCGATTAATTTACTGCTTTTGATCAATTATTATGATAAACATGGTAATCTTGGGGTAAGATTCAAGATTGATTTTATTGTCACATATGAAAAAAATATACATGAGATTTTCTTTCCTGTGCTTATACATTAAAAACAAAAAACACAAACACATCACATAAAATATAAATGTATCACAAATACAATAGCACCAAAAACCTTAACTAACTTAACTAAAGAGAAAGACAGTGGAATTAAGCTTAAACAACAAAGGTACCTAAATAATACTGATTATCTGGAGAATTGACTATTGTAGAGCTGACATGTGTGAGGTATGAATGAATTCTTTAACCGATTTGTTTTAACAGTAGTTTGTCTGATTCTTCCTGATTTGTTAAAAGTTATGCATCCAAAAATTGGGTGAGACTCATCCTGTAATATTTTATCTAATTTCGTCGTTACCATTATCCAAATCATATTTTCTTTATTGTAGCAATTTATGTTTTGGCTGTAAATATACAACCAGAGAGCTGGTGAAAATATTAACCGATAAAATATTACATCTGTTTAGAAAAACCTTCCTTTAATGTTATGTTGTAGGCCTATACGCGAAACTTACACCTAAAAATCGGGCACTTACTGCGTCGGGCACTCACTGCGCGCGTCGTAAAAGGAATCCAACTCCCACTGCCTGTGAGCGCTGACGACGCGACACCGTCTGCTGATTGTCAGTGGCAGTCTAAACGGATAATTTTTAATGACGATCCGTTGCGTACGCGGCGGCGATCGAGGCGTTGTATTTTCCATACAATCGGCGGACGACCGTCGCACGCAGTGTGAGTGTCCGGCTTTAGTGAACTAAATTCGAAACGGACTATTCAAGTTACCTTTGGTGTATGTCTTCTTGAGTGTTTCAGCACATTCACATAGATCTATGCTAGTAATAACTCTCAATCTTGGCCAAATTCTCCTGCATATGTCGTCAAAACCAGCTTTAAATTCTTTCCTAAGAAATTGTACTCTATCCGGATTACAAGTTCCGCGGATATGTTGCTCCAAATCTTCACGAATATCCAAAGGGAGATCTAGCTTAGAATACAAGGAACCAGTTTCGATGTCATTAAGCATTTGCTCCCAGTGCTCTTCGAGTATTTTAAGGGCGGCCATCAACGCTGGTGTGAATGCAGCCGAAATTTCTTTTAAGTATCTGTCGCGTATACCGAACAACATGTGAACGTAACAGGCTTCAAACTCGGTGCAAATGAAAAACCCAGAAGGTGGTGTAGTATTAGCTATCAAATATTTTTTGTAAGATTGCTCTATCATAAAGCCGGGGCCTACACGAATACCACCTTCAAGTGGTCTGCTTTTAGGTGCCGTGTATATAAGGAGCTTTTGCTGCAATGGACTTAACTGACCTGGAAACATTTGAGATAAAATTCTTGGGGCTAGGAAACGCATAGGCTTTACCAATTGCAACAAGCTTTGCTCTGTATATGGTATTTTCTTTCCTTTACCAGTGGTTCCTGAAGTTATTGTCAGCCTTATTGGTTTCTCTTTTGTCATAACATTCAACTCGCCATTGCAGATGCGATCAACGTACTTTTCATAGTGACTGTACGTTGTCAAAGGGTGTTTAGCTTTTAGATCTTGAAGACTATGAATTTTACTGAAATGAAAATCTTTGCCGTAGACGGTATTACGCTGCTCATTTAGTCCTTTAAGAATGAATTGTTCCTGGGTCTTTCTGAAATGCTTCGTCTGTTGTTTAAATGAACGGAAATATATGAAAGAGAAACTCATCGAGACAATGTAGGTAATATAGAGTACAGCAATCGATGAGATATTGAGATGATCGGACCACGTTACTGACGATATGTGGACAAGTGCACCTCCTACCATAGCAAGTAACATAAAGGCTATCCCTGAAATTAATAATAAAATGATTAATCAATCGTTCAAGCAATCAATAATCAAACAAACTCTCAGTCAGTCAATTAGATAAAATCAGTCAATCAACCAACCAACCAACCAACTAGTGTCAGTCAGTCAATCAATCAATCTACCAATTAATCGATTGATTAGGTCAATATATGCTGCAATTTAGAATCTTTGATCACACTGCAGTGGATATGTGAGCTTTATAAATCCTATAATGATGATAATAATAATAATAATAATAATAATAATAATAATAATAATAATAATAATTATTATTATTATTATTATTACATGTTTTCTGAAGATAATTTATAATCCATATACTTTATTTCGATACACATGTGGATTAAACAAATGACAAGTTGTAACGCAGCACATTCATTAAATCTATAAAATGTGTTTATATTTTGAAGAAAAATGTTTATTTTGACAAGAAGGCCTAAATGTCAAGTGATAGGCCTAAATTTAACATGTGTTATGAAATACTCTGTTAAGCAGTGCGTTTTTTTGGCAATATAGACCTACAAATTATACAAGCCATCGTGATTATAGAATGTAGAAATAATATAGAATTACGTTTGTATGCAGAGAAAACTTTTTTTTTTTAAATTTCAAACATATAGAAGATTAAAACATATCAGGTGGTTGTTAAAGCCTGTTTTTCATATGGATGGTAAAAGCGAGCTGCATTTATTTTACAAGCGCGCTAGATATACTTTTCAATATTTTACGGTAATTTATACAAGAAAACTGAAAAGATCTAAACGTAATAGTGATAAAATGAGAAATATGAAAGAATAAAAAATAACACATCATTACAGAAATATCAATACGTAAATATACATCACACACAGTCAAAATAATTTAAAAAAAAACACGTTTTCGCAATCTTACACATTATAAAAATCTATTACAAGCCCGGCCACGTTTAGTAATGTATGTATAATAATACATACATGGACGTTCAAATTTTATGAAGATTTTTTTTCCATGAAATTTAGTTTTTTTTATAAGTTCATTTGAAATTACGAAGGTTATTCGATGATTTTAATTCAAGTGGCAACGTATTCCATACATATGCGTGAGCATATTTGAGCGAAATGTTAATTATTTTTACATTACTTTAGGTGGTACGATATTATTGAGTGAGTCTGAGTTTCTGGTGCTCTATCCGTGACGGTTCAATACCAGGGACGTAGTCAGGATTTTGAAAGGGGGGGGGGGAGCCGTTATGCGAATTACGTAGGACCCTGGCAGGGTCAAGGAGGGGGGGGGGAATCCCCCTGTGAAGTAGCGCACTCTGAACGTTCTTAGGACTGTTTGAGAGGATAAAGTGAAAATTGCAATAGACGCATTATAAATAAGCGCAAAAATAATTATATAATAAAT